GAAAAAACACCCCATTTAAGTAAAAAACAAACAACTCAAAGAAACTTAACCTGTATGTACATAATGTAACAGAAAGTAGCAGAGTACAAAATGTTGTAGTTACAAAAAGTCAAAGAAATAAATTTAACATTATAGACAATAAGAAGGCATTTGGGCTTTCAAATTTAAATCCACCTATTATTTTTCAGAAAATCATATATTCCCCTCTTAAACTTCGGTATGATGATAGCCTCCACTACTGTTCAATGCAACTCATTCCATATGTCAATCACCCTGTTAAAAAAATAAAACTGTCTTAACTGGAGCCTAGTCTGGTTTTTGAAACCTCCTCCTACTGTCTTCATGATAAAACACAAAAATATGAGAGGCCCTTATCCGTCAATCAATTAGATAATCTTGTAAACTTCAATAAGATCATGTCTTACTCTTGTTTTCTCAAGAGAAGAAGTCCTTCCATCCCCAGAATCATATTAATATCTCTGATGTAGCTATGCTTTCAGTTTAAATATACAAAATTTTACAAAAAACTGGAATAAGAAAAATAATCTGAATATCTCAATTAATATTGGTACATAACTTTTAATGTAATGTCTCATGTTGTTATGTATTCATATTACAACATTTTAAACATATTAACTGTGAACATAAACTAATTTGATGAAAATCCAACCTTGTTTTGTTTAGCAGGGCATTGTTTGAGTCTTAAACTTATAGTCGATAATGAGTTGAAAATACTTCTTATTTGTAAAGGAAATAAATTTACCTTTATCAACAAGGGAAGTTAAACATTCATGTCTTTCAATACCAGTCTGCTGGTTAAAATAACAAGACAAACTGCTTACAAGTATCCAACACATAAAAAAAGTCTTTCATAAAATTTCACTAAATTATAATAAATGTACAAAAATATACAAATGACTAAGGGTGATGTGCCTAAAATCATAAACATTAGATTAGGCCTAACCATTTGTTAAATTCAAAGGAATATATATTATATGAAACAGAACAAGGTGACAGTGAGTCATTCAAAATATTAGAAGTCACATCATTCAAACAGTATTATTATTTACACTAATAATATAACAGAAGGCTAAACTTTGCTAAAATAATTCTTGGGCTAGTTTTCCAAACATATACTTATTAGAACTGAGAAGTGAGCTCAATTAATTAATATGATTAATTTTCTATGAGCTTTGTAACATCAATTAGTGTCATGTAAGATAACTGATCAGTCAAATAATTTCACAAAAATGATCAACAAATTGAAATTAGTTTTCATGGTTATTACAGTTTGTGATTATTCCAACTATCCAAATAATCAAAATATTACCACTATGACTCATTATTTTCAGTTAATTCGTTTGTTAATCTTACTCAATTGGTGCCGTGACTCATGAAAATATACAACTAATCAAAAAATTAATGTTTCTGAATATTACTTTTTGATTATTCCAACTACCAAATTAGAATAACTGATTATTTGAATATAATCAATTAATGAATTCAACAAATAATCACCCAACTCTAATACTTATTACTTCTAATATTCAAATATCCATTACTTCAGTCCAGAGAGGGAAAAAAAAGTCTGTTAACTACTGACAAAGATAAAAATTACAGTTCAAAACTAAATATTATGAAGGAAAAACTGTATTAATCATCAATATTTAATTAATCTTTCAGATTAATTCATCCCTTATTTTGTGCTTCTCAGCACTAACTTACACCATGTATGTGCTATACAATTAAATTTTGTAATTTTTTTTTGTAGCTGATTAAAACCCTAGCTCCTGAATCTATATTTGCAGAAATGAATGCCAAACTTTCAATAATTTAAGCAATTAAAACTAATTCAATGTTTAAAATATATAGATTTTAAAACACAATAGGTTTCTCAGAAATATATGGTATTTGAAGTTTTCAGTTGGTAATACAAAAGAACATCAATAAAAAATTAAATTTTCAAAAACAAAAGAGAGTTGATTCAGAATTAGTGACATTATCACAACAAAAATTGAGTATCCCAAAATAATTGCAAGTGTTGAAAGATTTATAATTAATTTGGGCATAAATTACCTTAAAGTGAGGTATGTTGGTAACTTCAGATTCTTACAGAAATATTATGAATGACAGATACATAGTGGAAATTTTTTTTTGGGGGGGGGGGGCACTTTGGTAGAACTGTACATGTGGAAGGTTCATCATTATAATTTCAATAGTCCTTTTACATCTTTCAACTTTATAATTAGTTTATAGTTAATGCACTACATACATTAAAAAATACTGATTCTGTATTCTTCAAAATATATATACATATAAAGTCACTTTACACATTAACCTTCCATAACATCCAACTCTAAAAAAATTATATTTAAAGTTAGTAAACAAAACACTCAATGAATGTAAATAAAATATGCAAAAAACATTTTATATCAAGTTTATTTTAGAAATTAGTTCTAAAAGTTTCTTCAATGTTTCATCACACATGACTGGAGAGATACAGTACATTTTCAACACATTTAAGTCATTTCTATGGGATATCCCTTAAAAATATAACAAAATATTCATTACAATGTTAGAGTTTAGAGATGGGATTAACATTTAATACAATTATGTCACAGTTATGAGATAGAGTAGCATTTAATATTTCTCACATAAAAATTTTAAAATCTAGAGGTACCATAAAATACTGGTGATTAAGGACAGATTTTTCCAAATTCATGGGTCTCAGTTCTTAAGCTGTAGCTTGAACTATGACTCTCTTAAGGTAGCCAAATCCCTCGTCATCTAATTAGTGACGCGCATGAATAGATTAATGAGATTCCCACTGTCCCTATCTACTATCTAGCGAAACCACAGCTAGCAACACCCAAGACCTTAATATCATCTGCAAATTTAAGTAATGTATTGACCATTCCTTCATCTATGTCATTAATGTAAATCAAAAACAGGAAAGTTCCTAAGACTGAGCCCTGAGGTACTCCACTTGTGACATTAATTTAGTTTGACTGAACTCCATTTATACCAACCCTCTGCTTTCTTCCATCCAATAAGCTAACTTATCTCCCACACCTATAGGCTATAGAGATAATTTTTCACAAGCCTTTTATGTGGCACCTTGTCAAACACTTTCTGAAAATCCAGATACACCAAATCTAAACCTTCACCTACATAATCAGTAACCTTTTCAAAGAATATCAAAACATTTATAAGGCAAGATATTCCCTTAGTGAAACCATGTTGACTATCCAATAAAATTCTCAACATTTTAAAATGACTTTGCAAAGCATTTTTTACTTTCCAAAACTTTTCATACAATCCATGTAAGACTAAGGGGCCTGTAATTACTGGGACAATTTTTATTTCCTCCTTTGAAAAGAGGAGTGACATTAGCTAACTTCCACTCCTCTGGCACCTGCCCATTACTCAAGGACTTATAAAAATAGTAACAAGTGGCTCACATGTCCAATCTGTAACCTCCTTCAAAACCCTTGGGAATATATTATCTGGCCCAGGAGACTATTATTCTTTAAACTTTTTTTTTCTTAACAAGCTCAGAATTAATGCAATTATCTTGTTTCCATCTATCAACTGTTTAAGATGTGGAATACTGCTTAAATCTTCATTAGTTTCTAAAACTCAAGAAAAAGCAGAATTTAATAACCCCTCCATCTCATAATCATCAGATACAAGCCTTCCTTTATCATTCTTCAAGGGTCCTACCTCATCCTAACATTCTCTTTTCCTTAATGTATTTAAA